GCTGCCACCACCGTGCTTTACGTCATGATGCTGCCACAACCGTGCTTCACATCATGATGCTGCCACCACCGTGCTTTACGTCATGATGCTGCCACAACCGTGCTTCACGTCATGATGCTGCCACCACCGTGCTTCTTCATGATGCTGCCACCACCATGCTTCACATCATGATGCTGCCACCACCGTGCTTATCAGTGGTGACGGTGTGTTTGTGATGATGTGCAGTGTTTGGTCGAGCATGGCGTCTAGCCTGACATACAAAAAGTCACATTTTGGATATTAGATCAACAAACCGTTAATTGTAGAGTTCCCTACGTACTCTTTTCAGTCATAACAAACAATTACATAACTTCTTGCACCGATTGGCTGCAGCTGTGTTGAATTAGGTGAGTCACTCTACTGAGTACTGATGCAATCTCTCATTTTTCTTGTGTCAGTGCCAGAGTGATGCAATCCAGCGTTACTTCAATGAACTGGCATGAAAGTATAACAAATGATTTGATCCTGAAAAGCAAAACATGACGTTTCCAGTATTGTTTTGAAAAACTGGAAACTGCACTGTGAAAATATTGATTATGAAATTTTAAACAGTATTTTTACAATCACATGCTGTAAAACTACAAACACATTATTATTATAACTACACACACAATCATTTTTCATGTTCGCTGTAATTTAACAAAACCAAATGTTGGTAAAACAGCAGTTAACAGTTCAGTTGTTCACCACTTTGCAATACTTAATGTATACATAGGTTGTAGCTGATTTAAATACAGTAAAAATACAGTAATTTTACTGTCAGATGTTGTAAAACAAACAAATTGCCATTTAATAAAAATCCAGAGTTTTGATGTGGACATTAGTCACAGGTTTGGTCTGTTTCTTTACAATTAACATGTAAATTAGTAATGAAATCAAATCACTAAATCTGTAAAATAATTACAACAAATTGCTGAATAAATGACAGTTAAGAGGAGTTTAAGAACACTTTTATGGCGTCTTTTTGAACCAGCCGGTTGTAAACTGCTAAACTAAGTCAGACTCAATGTGCCGATGAGGTTCAATAAAGCAACAAAATCATTTCCTACCAGACTCTGACCTTGTTGACAGAAGTGTTTGAAGCCCAGCAGGTTATTAAAGTTCACTTTGACAAACTGCAGTAACCTGAGCAGCAGGACGATGAACTCCTGAACTCACCTCAGCGGCTCTTTACGAAAACAAACTGTCACACTAACCTCCTGTTCAGACCCGCTGGCGGCTTTTCAAAGCAAACGCAGACGGCGTGCATTACAGTCAGCGCGAGTATTGATTTCCCTGCTTGATTATTGATCGTTCAGGTTTTTGTTGTTCGTCCTCCCAGATCTGCGGTTCGTTCTCGGCTCGGGCCGGCGTTCAAGGTCACATCAAGATGCACCACGCTCACACCAACGTCATCGGCCTGGGCGACTCCAGCGTCTGGAAGGTGCCTTTCCTGCCTCGATCCGTCTACCTGTTCGTCGCCCCGCTGGCCGTCCCCGTCATCACCCCGCTGGTCGCCCTCGGTGAGAAATATTTCAGCGCCGAACGCAATAATCGGCACAAAGTCGAGACACCTTCTGATCCTCCTGGAGCGCCGGTGCGAGCTCGTCTCCGTCGCCTCGGTGTGAGTTTGTCATCTGCTCGTCTGGTTGTTTTTGCAGCTCACCTCAGAGGTCACTCGGCGGTGCTCGTGGCCCGGACTGTCGTCATGGTGACGCTGGGCCTGTATTCGCAGTACTGGCTGCTGATGAACGTCTCCGGCTTCACGTCGCCGCTCAGCGCTCTGCTCTGCATGCTGGTCTGCAGGGCCATGTTCTCGGTGCCGTACATCCACGTCAACATCTTCCAGGTGAGAACGTCTGCAGCTACCGAACGACACCGAATTCACTTAAAAAACGACCACAAAGTTGTTAAAGCGTCTTAAATTATCAGTTGTTTTTTTTTTCTTTTAACCTCAAACAAAATGTCAGTGTCAAAGCCAAATGTGTTCATAAAAACAGTTCAATCAAAGTGCTGTACAGTCAGAATCAGGGAATAAGAATAAATTATGCAGCAAAACAAAAGATGAAGTCACGGTGAAGCTTTACTCGAACTGAATCCCGATGAAAAGAGGCGAGTTTAAAGCAGCGATTCAGAAGTTTTTGAAGTCTGAGCAGGTGAAATGTTCCAGAGATTCACAGCAGCAGCTACAAAGGTTTAGTTGCTTTTGTTTTGGATCACGTTCAGGAGCATCTGTTTGGTCAAAATCGGTGTGAAGATGCAATGATTTGTCATCGACCGTCATCGTAGGAGACAAAAATATTCATACTTCAGCACATTTCAGTCACTCAGATAAAAATCTGTGATGTCGTAAACTTAACTCCTAATCAATCAGGTAACTAACAGAACTAGTATTAAGGGCTGGACCCGAATAGCAGACGATTCGTTCGCTGTGCTAGAATCAGGATATCAAACTTGATCTCCAAATATTCCCCTCCCCCAAAACTATTCAGGATATTTGTCATTTATTGGGCCGAATATCCGGAGAACAGTTAGGGAAACTTCCATCCGTACTTTATTCTGCCCTGGAAGAGATTCTACAACACAAAGTGCTTTAATTCATCTTTGACCAACATTATGCACCAAAATGACACCATTTATTAGAGTTTTTACACGTTTACACTCTATTTAAGCTGCAAGTGTCTCCTCACTTCTCTTACATGTGTTTCTTCTTCATGCGAGGACGGAGGAGAAGTCCTGATGATGATGAATTCTGTTCCATGTGGCTCACAGATGCTGTGTATAAATAAAAATAAAAATATTTAAGGAAATAGAGCCACTGTACATAAATACTGTACAAGTTTGGACAGAGAGCCTGTTGAAGTGTACGTTGGATAAAATGTTATATTTCAGGGTTTTTTTGCACACAAACAGCCAGATACAGACTTTCAGAGATAAGATAAGCTTTATTTAATCCAACAGCAGGCCAGTTTGCAGTGTTATGGCAGCAAAAAGTTAAAGAAAATATCGGACACATGAGTAGAAAAACAGAAATAAAAAAACATAACAGTGATATTGCTCAGATTCCGCTGAATGTGAAAAATATGCAAAATGATGTCACAGAGGGTCATTTTATATCCACAGTAATATTCATGTTGCACAAATTCTGCTGTGAGCAGAATGATAAAAAGCTGCAGAGACGTATCGCCTGTCAAATCAAACCAACACCTGTAGCGTTCATAGAGTACACCTGTGTGTCTCTGCTCCTTGAACAGTTGAGAAATCCTCCATAACGGTGCAGGTTCAGCAGGAGGAGAGAGGACGGAAATAAGTTAGAAGCTTCCTGTTGATGGATCAACCTGTTAAACTCTCTGACGAAGGCTTGACACCAAAACTACGGAAGCCGAGAGCGATCGTTTTCCGCTACTGTTCTTTCTTCGCCATTTTCTCGAGATAACGAGTTAATTTTCTCGTTATCTTGGTGTTTGCCCGCTCGTGCCCGGTCCAGGATGGAATCCCAGGTGTGTGGGACCTCCCACACACCTGGGATTCCATCCTCAGTCACCAGCGGGGGGCCGGAGGACAGACGAGACCGGGCACGAGCGCTTCATTGTAAGTTGTCGTGCCCGGTCCGCTGTTCTCATGACACGTCATGTCGGAGTTCCCGGTCAGCTGTCTATATAAGATACGTCACACCAGGAAGTCCGACAACTTCTGATGAAGGCTGAAGTGACAGCCGGAACTGTCAACGGGATAATTATCTCGTTATCTCGGGAAAACGAGATAATTATCCCGTTATCTCAGGAAAACAGCGTTTAAAAAAATGTGCTGTCATGACCGCCCTGGGCTTCCGTACGAAACGCTGATTCTTCTTTTTTTTTATTTGTACGTGACCTCAAGTGTGAGAAGTTTTTTGTCTGTTTTGACACAAACTGAATCCAGCTCCCACTCCCAACATTTTCCACATACTTCATTTGGATTTCTAGCTTCACTTTCCTCCGAGAGAAATATTTTACGCTTCTCACGGTTTTTTTGCTCGGACGGTCATGAGAACCCGTCGTCATGAGAAGCTCGGCCTGAATGCAGCTTTGTGCGGCTTTGGCAGATCAGAGGAATGAAAAGGAGCAGTTCATGCATGAGTTTCCCAGATGGAGTCGTGCTGCTCATTGTGCATTGTTCTGATCAAAGTGTGTGAAGGTGGATTAGAAAACACGGTTCCTGGAGTGGAGTCCGACGGTGTTTGTTCTCTTTAGGGGGGTCGGACACAGAGATCCGATCTCTCAGGTCTCCTCGTGCTGTTGTTGGCCGACGTTCTGTCTTTTTAAGCTGAGCTCGGAGCTTTGGAGCCGAGGACGACCTTTGATTCTGGTTCACGGCAGGAAACACTTCATAGCGCTGCAGTCTGAGGAGTGGCAGCAGTCTGCTTGTTGTTCTGGAGACGCCGAGTTTTTCTTTTTATTTACAATATTCTGAGTGATTTAATTTGAGATTTAGCAAACTGTTAATCACTACTTTCATTATTTTATTATTTTGTTGTTTATTTGTGTATTATTTCATTGTTTTTTCCCCTCTGGTACATAATTATTTAAACTTTTAATATATTACTTTTATCCATCAGCTATTTCTTTCATATATTTTATTAATATTATTTTTCTTCTTCTTATCATTAGCTAGTTGTTCAGCTGTTTGTCCGTTATACAGATTTTCCTTCATATTATTTACTCATATTTTCATTTATTTCATTGCTTTTTAAATTTTTTTTATTTTTCATTAGGTATTTATTTAATTTATTTTATATTTTCTTTATATATTTGTCTATTTATGTTATTATTTTTTCTTTTTTTTCATACATTAGCAAATTATTTGAATATTTTCCCATTGCTTTAAACTTACTTTTTAAACTTCAGAATTAAAAAAATGAATAAATAAAAATTCTTTATTTGTTTATATCGATTACTTTGAGCTGACTAGTTCCTCTTCTGTTCCTGCACGTTTTATTATAATGTGTGTTTTTAAACTTCTGCACTGGACCGTGCAGCTGGAGGCTTCATGGAAAAATAAATTCACTGAAAACTGTCATCATAATATTTAGACTTTTAATTTTCCCTCAGCACAATTCTGTGGAGGTGTTTTTTTTTAATTAAATATAATTTAGATTTTTCTAATTTGTTGAGCCACTGCAGAGTATTTTCCACACGTCTCAACTCATAAACATGAAACAAACCCTCTGACCAGGGCGTTGTTGTCGTGTCCATCCAACAGAGACTTAACAAACCTCCTTGTGTTTGCAGCACATCGGTCTGCCGATGTTTTCTCCGACGCGCCGTCCGAAGAGGATCTACCAGATGACCCACGGAGTCCTGAACCTTCCTCGTAACCCGCTGCTGGACTGGATGTTCGGACACTCGCTCATCAACTGCCACGTGGAGCATCACCTCTTCCCCTTCCTGTCCGACAACATGTGTCTGAAGGTGAGACTTCCACGAGTTCGGGCCATAAATCGCTTCGTGTCGTCGGTTTCCACATAGTTTCAAGAGCCGCTGGGCGGGAAGGAAAGAATGCAGCAGCCTGATGTCAGTTCAGCTTCTCATGTAAACACCACAGAGCCGCAGATAATGAGTGAATCGTTTATTTATGTCCCACTGCGGTCGTGAAGAGCAGCCAGAATTCCCAGTGGTGTGAAAAAACAGCATTTACTGATTAATAAAGCAAAAAGTGCACTAAGCAAGTGTTTACTACAAACAGACATGAATGTGATCGTATTGATAATAATAGAGTTTATTTGAGTTTTCCAGTTAAATTTTAAATCTTCTGAGCTTTTTAAGAGCTGAAGGTCAGTTATTTAAGAGTCTGACATAAAGCTGGAGTCAGTGTTTGAGGTCAGGTTGTGTTCATTTGTGCCACTTTCTGAGCATTTTTTCTGAAACTGTTTCCTGTAAATATTTCATAATAATAATGAAAGTATGAAAAGACCAACAGGATTTCTCTCCGGTCACTCATCCTCCACGCTCAGGATCTTTGTCCACGTGTTGAGGTCAGCAGCACACTATTATTAAAATTATATATTAGACTGATTGAACTAGTCGTTTATATTCCCAATGGAACGTTTAAATATGTGTGAAATGTGCAGATTAAAAAGTAAACGCATAAAACGGTTAGAAAGGTAACAAACTTTAACTTTTGCTGTTAACTCAGCAGCTTTGGGATGCCAGTAACGTCACTCTGAAAAATACAGCTTAAAAATAAAAAGAGGGTCATATTTTATCAGCTCAGACGCCCCCAAATAATGTGAAATAACATAAAAATGTAGTTATTTTTTGATTTAAAATTGAGTTTCTTGCCTTAATTTTACACGAGCATATTTGTGGGCTTTTATCAAGGAAAGTTTAATAAAAGATGTTTACCTGCGTGAAAACAACATCTGTGTAAAATCTGAGAAAAAGAAAGTATTGATTTACTTGTTGACTGTAAAATACAAGTGGTCAGAACTGTCAATAATGTCTGCATCAAACATCAGTGATTTTACAAACAGAGTGTAAATGTACAGTTTTACAGCTAAATAATGTCCTTATGCTTCTTTATGTATCGTTTTAAAGTAGAATCGCTGTTTTAGATCCACTTTGTTGATTTAGTTTTGTTTTATTTACAGTGTCGCTGAGCTCAGTGAGTTACTTTCATTAGCCTCATTTATGTCCAGGCAGGCATCTATTGAACATTTTATTCCTCCTCTGATGTTATTGCTCTTTTTTATTGTTTTATTATCGTACAGCACCTCCAGTTCTGAGTTGCTATAAAAATACAGTTTCTGCTAATCATCGTGGCACCAGATAACCACCAGCTTCCTCATTTAGACGCTGTTGTTGCTGCCTGTGTTGTTTCCTGAAACCCCGTCAGGCTGGTTAGCTTTTACACCCGCTGTGTGTGTTTCTGTCGTCCAGGTGAAGCCGGTCGTGTCCAAGTACCTGACTGAGAAGCAGCTGCCCTACCAGGAGGACGGCTACCTGTCGAGGCTGCAGCTCTTCTTCGACCGGTACCAGGAGCTGATGGTGTTCGCTCCGCCCATCACGGAGCTGGTCGGCGTCCAGTGACGGAGGAAGAAACTGTGTCGGACTCTGAAGCACAAACGTTTCTTCTGACGCGTCCGGTGTTCAGGTTTGAGCCTCGAACACAAACAAACAGACTCTGAATCAGTGTTTAGTCCAACGTTAGGAGATGAATTAACCACTCGTGACTGATTCTGTAAAGTATTAAAGTAGCTCGATGAATATCCTGCACTGCTAGAGATGATTTAACACAAAGACAAACCAAAAGCTGACTGTGATTGTTGGGAGCTGTGTTGATTGAACTGACCTGGGGTCTGTCTCATGACGCAAATCCAACAGCTGCTTCTGACGGACAAAGATGGTTTAATATTCACCTGCAGCAAGAAAAACCTCAAGGCCTCGCACTGATAAGATGCTGATTTATTCTCTGCAGCTTCAAAAATATATATAAAAAAAGCAGCATACACTGTAAACTATATGAGAAATAACTAAACTAGTGTGCAGATATTTTTTAGGCTTAAATCAATGATTTTAATATGTTAAGTTGCTTTAATTGGTGAAGTGATTTATTACAGATTAAAGGAAAATTATTACAATGAAAAATAGCATAAAATGTATGTTTCTGTGGTTCTACCTTTAAAATGAAAATTTTTATTCAGTCTTTTTATTTTCATTTTTAAAAATTTCGTCTGGTGAACCAAACACGTTGAGCCAAAACAGCAGCAGCACAAAAAAATACTAAAATAAAACTAAAAGCAGAAACAACAACAACAACAACAACAACAACAACAACAACAGCTGAAATAACAACTTAGCACAACACCAATAATAATAATAACATTTTTCACAGAAATCACTGACATAATTAATACTTTTTATTCCGGTTTTTACACGATATTATCTGTAGTTTAACAAAACAGGAAAAATGTGTAAAATAATATAAATTAAAAAAAGAAAAAATCAGTCCTTTATATGCTTAATTTTTCTTTCAAATAACAACAATTGTAACGATGACAACAGCAATAATAACAACAACAACTATAATGATGATTATAAAGAGAAACCCAGAGTGGACACAGTTCATACCAGAGTGCTGCTACAGACGGCTGATGTATTTATTATATCACATTTTATTCTGTTTTGAGGCCTCATCATTTACAGGCTTTATTTCACTCTGCATAACATCCGTACTGTTGTTTCATTTCTCTCTGAAGACATAAAAGCTACTCGTTCTCCAGCTGTTTTTACACCAACGACCTTTAAGCACATTTGGCCTCGTGGTGATTTACTGCATCCTGTGATGTTTGCTGTCGGATTAAGTTTTTATTGGACAGAAAGCGTCTCTGCGGACTTGGAGGTCTTGTACGTGCAGATATAAATAAAAACCAGAATCAAAGCTAAATTGCGCGTCGCAGGAGTTACGATTCTGTCTGTTTTTACAAATTCTGGGTCTAATAAATGTCCTTTTAATGATTTTCAAATTCAAAGAGCAGGTTTTTGGGTTCAGAGGGTTTCTTTGTGTTTCTAGATTCGTTTCGTGTTTGCAGTTTTAACCTGGTGTGTTTTGTCCATCGGGGGCCACCGTAGCAGTCAGGATGTGAGACGGCTGCTGGAAACTTTGTGATATTATAAATGTGACCTTCACCGTTATCAGAAGAACTAGAGAAAAAATAAAAGCCACAAAGAAGAAGAAGAAAAATCTCTGGAGAGGTTCTAATGTGGGCTGAGCTTAACGACTCCGTTTAAATGAACAGTCGACTTAAATTAATAAGTAAACCTCAGTTGATTCCAATTAAATTCAGCATTTTTACAGTAAAACTCTGCTGCAGGATGGAAAAAAACTGATAAAAACACATCAGGATTTAGTCAAAGTGATGGTTGATGGTCCAGAAAACAGAAGCCTGAGTGAAACAAACAGAATAAAAAGCACAACGATCAGTCGTAGTCTCGCCGCCTCATGAGACCGGCCTCGGCTGTCCTGCACTCACACACTTGTTTTCATCAATGCAATTTCCTGAACATCTGTAGCTGCAAACCTTATGGACATGAATGTGTCTCGGTGTGTTTTTATTTTCTGTCTGGGAATAAATTTTAACGTGGATTTAATGATTTCAATCTTGTTTTATTGCCTTTTATTCCGATATATCGATGTATTTATGTAACACCTTTAATATTGGTGGAAAACTCCACTTGTTCCACGTCGATAAACGCATTATTTCACCTTTTTTTGGGGGTGAAATACGATATTTAAAGCAGCATAAATAGATTTTTTTAGCCACTTGGGGGCAGCAGAAGCCATAAACACAGTTACACTTGTGTGTCTGGCCTCGTGGTAAATTTAAGTCAAATATTTACTCTCTTTCTTGCTCTTGTTTTAATTTCCTGGGAATAAAATCTGTCTTTTTAGCTCCTGAATGCTCCACAGTGCCCACCAGGAAGTCACTACCTGCGTTTGTCTGCGTTTTGATGCTCAGAACATTTTGTTCCGTCATTTTTATGAGCGTTTTCTCTCCTAAAACATCCGTCTGCTGCATCTGGAAGCGGTTTGAGGAAACAGTAATGCTGCAGTTTGACCAAAACAAAGAGCTGAAAGAAGCTAAAACGCTCTCTAGAGCTGAAGGGAGAAAAATGACAGCTTTCACATCACAAATAGTCATTTTATCCACGTTTATAGAAACATTGATCAGCGCAGCTTTAAGTTCAGAGTCAATCCAGACAGAATTCAAGAAATATTGACTTTGCTTATTTATTATTTTGGAGCCAAAACTTGAATTGTACGAGTTTATGTTGTTTTCAGACTTCTGCATCTTTGTATTTTCACCCTGAGAGGCCATTTTAAGGCATCAGTGTCTCCAGAAACAAAACTCCCACAGCCATAAAATCTCATGAAGACACAGACAGAATAGTTTGTCATTGATCCAAACGATTGATCGGCTCCTGCAGAAGACAAATTCTTAATTATTGGTCCTTGAAAGTGGAAAAAATTTGCAATGAATGGTGGTGTTGTGGCCTCAATAAGTTCCTATAAGTGTACATATATATGGGTGGATCCATATTTCCTACTAAAAATACAGTCTTTGGTCGACGTTTCACCAACTTTTGAAGCGTCTAACATCAACAGAATTGATCTGTGGCAAGTATGGCAAGATAAGACTCCACTTTGTTTGTTGTATTGACTAGATGTTGATGTGGACTCTGGTAGAACCGGTGTCCATGGGGTCTATTTGTTGTTGTTAGATAAGTCACACGCTGCTCCCAACATACTGTCTTCACGTTGAGATTTAACAACGCATGCGGCTTATTTCTCTCGATGCAGACACTCTGAACAGAGAAGCCGATGATTATTCAACAGACATCACAATAAATCTCACGAAACGCGACGTGACGACGCCGAGAAAAGTGAAGCAGGAGATCAGCGCCGCTCTGAAGGCAGCAGAGGAAAATGCAAAAGAGTCATTATGCGTCGTTTATTTGCATGTCTCTGGTGGTTTTAGTGTCCAGTTCGTGTTGCCTTCTCATCGTAAACCTCTTTGAACGAGTCACGTTTTGTCAGAATGAAAGAAAACTGGAACCTTGTCTCACCAAACCTGCCTCACATTAAATCCTGCTGATGTTAGAGAATCAAAAGTTGGTGAATTTTTAGTAGAAAATTCGGATCTATCCTTATATATGTACACTTAGAGGAACTTTCTGTGGCCCCATACGACTGTTGTTTGAAAATTTTGCACATTTTTTTCCTCATTTTTAAGGGCCAGTGATTAATAATTAGTCCTCTGCTGGATCCATTTGAATATTAAATCTGCTGAGAACTATTCTGTCTGCGTCCTCAACGAATATCACGACTGTAGGAGTTTTATTTCTAGTGATACTGATCCCTGAAGGCCTTCACATGTGAGGTGTTTTTTTGTGGCCTGAAAACATGAAATGCTCGAAATTCTGCGTCAAAACAGCCGAGTTTTGATCCCAAATGACAAATATAGTCAAACCAGATCCCCGAAACGACGCAGCCGGATCTGCTTTCTAGTATTTCTGGTTTTCTGTGACTCAGCGTCGTTTAGATTTCTGCTGCTTCGTCACAAAAACAGATCAGAATACGTTAGCTTGGGCTCAGTGTGTTAAATGTTAAAGAGCATTCTGTTTACACGCTGAAGAGTCCATAAGTTACCACATAGAGTAAACAGACGGTCACTGTTTGCAGCCGTACACTCGTCTCATGATGTCACACAACAGTGCATGGAAACACAAAAACAATGGAGGCAGTTTGATAAAGTTTACAGCTCACGGTGTCGGAGCCAAACTGTGTTTATAGGGGAGGTGCCACCCTCATTAGTTTGTTCTGTTCTTTCTCTGCTGTACACTCAATAGTTTCCTCACATTTTGCCTCTTTTTCTCATAATTTCCCTTCTTCTGATTGCTTTTCTTAGAGCTTTCCCACCAATAGATGAATGTTTTTACTGTTGCAGAGAACGTGACAGACAAATTGCAAAGTTTATTTGACCACTAAGAGCAGTGAGGTCAGATCTGATTGGCTCATGATTCATGTGATGTGTCATGTGACCTCACAAACATGCAACCAAATGTCAGTTCAGTGTTTTTTTTTTTCATTTTTGGGGAAGAACCTTTTGTCCAGATCAGAGTGAATCTGTGGACGCTTGGTGGCAGCTTCTGCTCTCAGGCCCGATCCAGCCCCTGTTTGCATTTTGTTCTGGACTTTCCACTTATTTGCATGTGAGATAGGAAGCAGGTGAGCAGACAAAAGGCTGCAGGAATGACTTCCTCAGTTTCTATCTGGACTGTCTGATCATTCGGAGGAACAATGCAGGCGCTGACTTCATCAGAGGGTGAGTACAAACAGGCGAGATGCTGTTTACTGATTGCAGAACTTGTAAGTTTCAGTTCATGTTTAAACACAGAGCCTGTGAGGGAGTGCAACCCTACACCTCAGTGTTGTGCTCAGCGCCGGAGCTCCACCCTGCGGCTTCGTGTCTGATTGTGTGCGGGGGTGTTGCACTGCTGAAGGGGCGGGAGGCTGAAACTGTGAGCTGACGTCCACAGCATCTAGGTGTGGCTTCGCAGGCTCTTCAGTGGGATCCAGGAACTGCCGGCACTCAGACGCAGCAGCGGTTTGCAGAGGAATCATGGCAGATACAGCAGCAGAGGAAGCAGCTCCCAAATCCAAACAGCTGTGCGGCAGCTGCTCAGGTGAGCTGAGCGGAGTCGACGGAGACAAGGGATGTCCAGAGTGTGTGAAGAAACAGAACGGGGCCCCCGAGGCCCCCGAGGCCCCCGAGGCCCCTGTGATCAGCAGCAAAGAGAAGCAGAACCAGGACCCGAAGGCGGCCGAGGAGACCAAGATCCAAGAAGACCTGAAGGAGTCCGAGGACGACAAGAAGGAGGACGAGGAGCCCAAAGAAGAGGAGGTGAAGGAGGAGCCGCTGGGCCCCGATGATGTGGTGTGCGACTCCTGCATCGAGAGCCCCTGCAGGGCCCAGAAGTCCTGCCTCACCTGCCTGGTGTCGTACTGCGAGGCCCACCTCCGGCCTCACCTGGAGAACCCCAAGTTCCAGAACCACCGTCTGGTGGAGCCGCTGAGGGACATCGAGCGTCGGACCTGCGAGAGCCACAAGTGGCCGCTGGAGCTGTTCTGCTGCGCCGACGGCTGCTGCGTCTGTCAGGACTGCGTGACGGAGGAGCACCGGGGCCACAACACGGTACCGGTGGAGGAGGCCCGGCGCCGCATCGAGGCAAGTG